GGGCCTGCCAAGACCTCTCCCGGGTCCTTGGCTTGTCTCCCCTGACACCCTTCCTCTTAGGGAAGCTTGTCCACTTCTACCGTTTTAATGATCAATTTATGTGGCAATTCCAGAAACTTGATTTCCACCCTTATCTCTTTGCTGAATAGTAGGAGCTTCTCTCCAACTGTACTATTTTCAACTGCGTCTAAATTCAACTCATCTAACACTGAACAACACGACGTCTTCTCCCTGCTGCTGTCTCCTAACCCATCTCTTCTCAGATTCACCAACACTGACTTCCCTCTCCTGTTCCCTGGCTCCCAACCCCCACAGGTGTTCTTGGACACAAGAATCCAGGGCACGAGTCGGGGCACTAAGTCAACCAGTCCCTGGGTGCTGTTCATGACTCCACTGCTGATGAGTTCTTTTCCTCGGCCACAGCATTGGTTTGGACATTATCTTCTCCTACCTGGAAGACTGCAGTAACCTCCTCAATGGGCTCCCTCCCTCCTTCCTTCCCTGCCCTGTAACCCAACATACTGCAGGCTGATTAATTTGTCCAGAGCACTGTTTTCCATAGAGCACTACTCTGCCACAGTCAGATACTTTCAACCTTCTCAAATGCCCAGAGAATATTTGGGCCAATTCACCTGGCAAGCGTGATCGCCACAACCTGATGTAAACCCACAGTTGCCACATTTTCCTCCCATAACACTTGGATACAGAGCAGGCTGACCCACTCACATGCTTATGTTATACCTTCCTTTGCAAAATATGCCATAAATATGAATAATATTGGTTGAATGCATTGCTACCTCTCAGCTTCTTCTCACACTGTTCTTGGCAACTGGAATGCTCTATTCATTTCAGATCCTGCTTACTCACTTAGCAACAACAATTACTATTATTTATCAAGCCCTTGCTCCGAGTCGAGCATGAGGCTCAGCATTCCGCGTGCGCTGGGCTCATTTCATTCTTACAATCCTGTATTGTTAGTGCTATCACTATCCCCACGTTACAGATGCAGAAACAGAGGTTTGGGTAAATTAAAGAACAATACGCAGGTCACACAGTAAGTGGCTGAGTCTGCTACTAAAAACTGAACGCTTCACCTTTATAGCACGCTGCCTCTGTTCTTGTCTTCCCCAGAGATAGTCTTTCTCCTGAATACACTGCGCTTCTCTCATCAGATTTCTGGCCCTGCCTTGTGGGTCTTTCTGCAGCACCGTGGTTTTTACAGCACAGCGTGCTAATTAGGTACATGGACTGGAGTCGGGCTGTCTGAGCTGGGACCCTGACTCTACTACTTGCTAGCTTTGTGTGTATCAGGCAACTTAGAATTGTGTGCCTTCTCATCTAGGAAAAAAGGGATTATAATAGCAGCTGAGGTATAGGATGATTGGAATAACTAAATGAGTTCATCTATAGAGCACTGAGCACATAGTAAGCACTTGGTAATTATCATCTGTTATTAAAATTTTCAATGCCTATGCCTTGCCTCCCATTACGAGTATAAGCTGATTAAAGGAAAAGAGTCTTTGCCTTTTTAATTCTATAACCCCTAGCATGTCTCTCCAGCATAGGTGCCTCAACTGTGCTGCGATTTAAAAGGTTTCACCGTCATGGTTACCTTTTAGGAAATAGGCAAGATTCTAGTTATTTGAATCATCACAGCCGGAGACATACAATGTGGGCTGAAATGCTGAGCTGGTAAATAATTCCTGAATTCATAATGTACCCACAGCCAGCACAGACATTTCACTCGCCAGGCCTTTGTGGCAGCGCGTGTTCTGTGCCAAGGCTCATAGGCACAGGGGGAAACTCAGAGAAGCTGAGAGAGCCCCTCCTGGTGCTTCTCGAAAGGAAGCCAAGATTATACCGGTGAACTTGAACTGTATCAGGAAATGTCAGGGCAGAAAGATTCTAGGGGCACATTTTATGATGAAAAAGCAGCCCTGATAGATTTATTGCCTATTCATATTTAGATCAATCCAGAAAGTGGCGGATCAGCAAAGCATGATTAGTATTTCTTTTTCCCCTTTTTCTTGGAAGTGGGACAAAGCATGCTGAAGCGACACTGAGTGAAATCTATAACCTCTCATAGTCATTTGGCACTAAAAGAGCACATCCTGTTTACCTAGAACATTCCATCTGATTTTGTAAAATCCACAAGTAACAGGAGCCAATATATCTGCAGTGAAGTCGGTGGAGTTGTTCCAATTTAAATTCAAAAGACGGGGCCAGGGTCGGGGGGGAGCTGGAAAACTCCTCCTTCTCACATGCGGTTGCGAGGTGTGTCTGCTCCTCTCATAAATAGCAGCAGCCAGAATCCTCCTGGTACCCGATGCTCACAGCCGTGGGTACTTCTAGGCACATGAACATGGGTTGCTTCTGCTGCTCCGTTTAGCTATTTTATCTCCTCCAGTGAGGAGGACTTTGTGGTTCTCAACCCTAGCTGCACAAAAGAATCACTTCAGAGATAAAAATACATAATGCTTCTATTGCCACGCCCATGCCCCTTCCCCAGAGGTTCTGATTGAGTTCCTCCAGGAAAGTGCCTGGGCATTGTTCCTTCGGGGGGACTAAGTTTCTGCAGAGATACGACCAGATAGCAGGTGTTGAAATCGGCTAAGATCTGCACCAGGCAATAGCTTGATCTAGCTACAGATTCCCAGCAAAACTAGAGCCTGTGTTGCTACAAAGCTGCCAGAACCCAGCCAATCGCATTAACTCTCTATTCCGCATCACTTTTATCCTCACATCACTGACCGAGAATGGGGTTGCAAAGCCAGGGACCAAGAAGAAACCCAGAAAGATTCCTGGGCATCTCAGTATGTTACTGGGCAAACAACCTCTGAACTTCTCTCTCTCTCTCTCTTTCTCTCTCTCTCTCTCTTTTATTCCATAAAATGGAAACAAGATATTTGCTTTACCTGTGACGTGCTGAAAGAAGAGAGAGTCTCAGTCCGGGCCTGGATCTATGCTGTAAGGAGAAGGGATTGATCATATCAGCCAGAGATCGGGAGAAGCACCAAGGCCGACAGATTTAACAGGATGGTCAAGAAAACACCACCGATTGTCCAAAATCGGCAGGGCCTAGTTACCCTTGAGTTTGGAGTGGAGAAAGCTGGATAAGGACAAGAAAATATTAAAAAGCAAATGAGAGAGAACAAAGTATTTTGTGATTATTCTTGGTTTTGACATTGCTTATTTGTACTTTCTTTCCATGAGCCATATTGATGTGTTAATAGTGATTTTTTGGTTGTTGTTAGTCACTTGTCTCATAAGAATGTTGGGAGAAGGGGGATAAAAGGCCACCTTTTTACGGAATGCTAAAAGAGATCAAAATAAACCCATCTGCTAAACACATTTATTATCTACTAAATGAAAAAGGAATGTCTCCCACTCTGATCTTATCTTCCCTGAGCCAAACACCTAATCTAGGGGTCTATCTATCTATCTATCTATCTATCCATCCATCCATCCATCCATCCACTTAATTTTCTTTTCTATTTGCCTTTTCATTTTCAGAACAAGGCTGCCTCTGATAGTCTTCCAGAAAGAAGCCCAGACCTCAAGTTGGCAAATCTAGAGTTTACTCCATGGGAAGTTGTTATTAATTTATGAATTGCCAAAGCCAAAGCCAGCACAAAAATGATAATAGTAAAAATAAGCAAAACTCTTTCAGACTTTCCTAAGTGTTCAAAGAGTTGTTCACACTGCCCACGTATCACTTTACCTTTCCAGTGAGAATATGGTGTCATTAAGGATCAATACAGAATGTGACAATGAGCATTTATTGTCCTCCTATGTGCCCTGGTTTGTCCTAAGAGCTGGGAAGGGAAAAAATAAGTCATTTAACTGGTGAGATTCGCAGCAAACTATTGATGGTCAATTTGGGAGAGGGGAAAAAGCAATGCATATTGGGGGCTTCGGGGCTTAAAACACTGTTGGAGATCATCTGTTACAGTACAAATAGTCATGTATTACTTGTATAATTAAAAAATTAATTATTAATTAATTAATTTTTAATTAAATTAAATTAATTTAAATTAAGGTGTGGCTCAGTGGTTGAGCATCGACCCATGCACCAAGAGGTCGCCGGTTCAATTCCCAGTCAGGGCACATGCCCAGGTTGTGGGCCCGATTCCCAGTGGGGGACATGCAGGAGGCGGCCAATCAATGTTCTCTCTCATCGATGTTTCTATCTATTGCTCTCTCTCTCTCTCCCTTCCTCTCTCTCTAAAATCAATAAAGAAAAAAAAATTTTTTTAAATGCCCCAAAACATTAGCCCTTCACCAAAGGCACACTGAGCTGCAGGACAGTGGCGTGGCCTGGCTTTCTACAATGTGTAAGGAAACATGGTTTCTATGAGCCACACATCAGAGACTGGTTCCTCCCTTCCACAGGGCTCAAGGCAAGCCTGCTGGCTCTCAGACCCACTTCCTTCCAGGCTGCCCGTCAGCTCCTGTGCCCGGAGTCAAGGAACAGGAGACAGCAGCTTACATTTTACATCGCAGGGATCACCCCCCACCCGAGACTGAGCTGACATACCCGGCGCTCCGGCTACACGGGGCAGGCGCCCCCTTTGTCCGCACAACCACAGCGTGGCTGCCGGGCCGTGGAAATGCTCGCGTGCGGATTCACGAATGCTCTGGTCTTTGTGGTCTTTTCTGGCTCAGAGATGGGAAGATTCATTAACAACAAAAACAAAGGGCGGAGGGAGAAAACTCTATTACAGAGAAAACCCTTAAAAGATCCCAGCTATCTGCCTGATACTCAGTCTTCCTAAACACAGTCTCCGCTTAACCCACGGGCTGCTCAATGCTCCTGGCCGCACACGCTTCCCGCTCCCAGCGTACATGCCACGGCCGTGTGTGTCCTCCAACTGGAAAGTCAGGCAAAGGGGTCCCTAACTGGAAGATGCCTTAAAAGGAGTGTCAAAGAGACCGACCGAGGTGTCGCCGAGGTCTTGCTGCAAAGGGAGACAGACCCCAGGAGGAGAAATGCCTATTACCTGTCCGGCACCGAAGTCCCCAGACCGGCTCCTGCTATGCCAGACGCCTAAAAGCAGCCAGATGTCCTCTACGCGGCCATTGGCCCTTCAGCCTCCTCGAAGGCCTCACGCCCACTGAAGAAAGAGCCGAGCAGGACTCATTGCGAGGGTCAGGCAGCTCCTGGCCAAGCTCGGCCTCCCTGCTGACCCGTGCCTCCTGCCCTGGTCCTCCGAGCCTCACAGATCCATTCCTGCCAGCGCTGCTGTTTTCAAAAACAAGAAGTGATTTCCTGGTCCTCTTCCCCGGATGGCGTGTGCGATTTCCCTCACGCCCATGGGAAGTCCTTCAGCTCCTTCTTATCTGAAAACCTCTCCACTGAGTGGCCAGACGTGTTTGGCCAATGCCGCTCAACCTGGCTTTCCCTTCTCCAAGGAGGAAATCAGAAAACGGAACCAACGCAGACCCAGGCGGGGTAGAGCTAATGACAGGTGTAGGATGCCTGGTTTAAACCTCAGAAAGATGGCCACCTAATTAGACTGTGATTTTCAGAGAGGAAAGAAAATTAAAATTATTGATGAGTTCTTTGTCCCTAGCAGTGCCTAAAAGTTAGAGAATACGAAACGTCCAAGGGGATGGGAAGACCTAAAGAAGTGGCTTGGTCCCAGCCCAAGGCTTTAGGGATGGCTTGACTTCCAATATGCCACATGAAGGGACAGCGAGTTCTTCCAGGTTTCCAGGGAAGCTCTTCGAAACTTTGTGCATCAGAGTATAAATTCTGTGACACTCCCAATATCATCTTGATAACATTACTCTATGAAGATAAGGAGGTCCATGGAAAAGGGCCAGTTGGCAGGCTGCAGTCAGGTTGTTGGGTGTAAAGACGAATTCTAATCAGAGTGTTTGTGCTGGAAGTGACCTACCCGTTCTCATTTCACAAGTGAGAAAACGGGCCCGAGGAGAAACAAGGACTTGCCCAAGGTCAGAACACCCATGGGAAGTAATAGATTATCATCCGCTCCTTCTTAAACTTTAGTATGGGGAATGCTGTTCAGCTGCCTGCCGTTGAGCTTTGTCCACGGAAAGTCTGATGAATGAGGCCTGGCCCGAAGCCAGGAATCTGCATTGTAAGTCAGTGCTGTGCTCCAGATGAGTCTGATGCAGGTAGTCCCCCGGCCGGAGTCAAAGCAAGAGGGTAATAATACTACTGAGCTTGTAGCCACCAGTGAGAGCCTGACACAGAGGGAGAGCTCCAGAATTGTCCATTACTGTCTGGAGACCTGGCTCTAATCCTCTAAGCCCGTAAGTCTTCCCTGTTCCGCACCGTCTCCCTTTCTCCTTGCTCGCTTCCCATCTGGCTGAAGCTACCGCTCTTAGACGTCAGCAACCACCAGCAGAACTCAGGCTTGAGACAAAAGTTAAGGATTTTGATGTAAAAGGAGGCAACTTCAAAATATTATTCTTTCACTTCTTGGTACTGATTCTCCATTGTGTTGTCCAGCCTACTCCCTGCAGTCCCTGGGCGGGAAACAGGTGGCTGTCCACCCACAGCTGACCCTCTTTGCTGGTCCCAGGTGTGGCTGGGAACGCACGTGTAGCCAGTCTGTGAGCTCAGGGGTGAATGGAGATCGGTCCAAAGCACAGTGATCGCATTCTCCTTGAGGGGCATTGGGGTAACTTAGGCATGGGGCTGGCTGTGGATGAGATCACCTCTGGGTTTACTGCTGGTGGCACAAAAAAATGTTCTTGTTGTTCCAGCTCCTGTTGAGTTTTCTGTTATTTGTAGCTGAAAGCCACTATAATAAAGTGGTGAATCACTATAAAAATAAATCTCCTGATTCTATATAAAATATTACCTTTGGCCAAAAAAAAATTGGAAAAAAATCGAAACACATACACACGGAGCCAGATAGCTTAAATCATATTCTAAAAATTTCCAAATTAACTTCTTATGCTAAGTATGTGTGGTATTGACTTGTTCTATAAAAATGGACTAAGATACTCCAGATTCTTTCTTACACTAAAAGTCTATAATATTAAATGTAAGTACTGGAAAAGCACCTGGGTCTGAAAACCCAGAGTAGCTGTGAGCTCCCGATCTGGCCAATAGCAGCTCTGTGGAAACAGATGATTTCATCTTTCTGGACCTCAGTTTCCTCATCTGTAAAATAATAATACTCCCTACCTCAGGGTTGTTGTGAAGATTAAGTTTTTAAATATATGTAAAACTACTTAGAACAGCCCTGGACGGTTTGTCTCAGCGGTTGGAGCGTCGGCCTGCAGACCAGAGAGTCCCAGGTTCGATTCCCGCTAGGGGCACGTACCAAAAAAAAAAAAAGCTTAGAACAGTGCTTGGCACATAGTGAGCATGTGTGTTAACTATTGCTCTTTTTGCAGAGAACAGACTTCTGTTGCAATAATCGTTGCATGTGGTTTTGGTATTGTCTTTGCCTTTGTTGTGTGCTAGCTTCTCCTCGGGTACTGCGTGGATTGATTGGCACTTTGCAGATGCTTCTGAAATATAACCTATGTTCTCTGTCGTGAGCTTTGGTTCCTTTGGGGGTGACTTGAGTGGACTGGCATAAATGTAGATGAGTGATGGCAGCTGTGTTTGGAGGAATGAAGAAAACGTAGGAGGACACTGGGTGTTAACACAATGGTAAAAGACACACGAAGAGCTTTGCAGGCTGACAGCGTTGGGAAGTAAATGTCTAGTGGCAGAGTTAGCCCACAACTGCAGAAAAGGAAGCTGCAGACCTTGATACTTCCAAAAAGATGAATAATGTGGGGAACTTGACTTGGACACATCTTGCCTTAAGAAATACCTGCTGCCCTGGCCAGTTTGGCTCAGCGGCTAGAGAATCGGCTTGCAGACCAGAGAATCCTGGGTTCGGTTCCTGCTACGGGCACGTATCTCAGTTGCAGTGTGTCCCCTGCCCTGATTGGTTGGGGTCGTGTGGGTGGCAACCACTCCATTTGACTCTCTCACATCCATGTTTCTCTCTCTCTTCCTTCCTCTCTCCCTCCCTCTCTATCTGAAGATAAATGCAAAAATGTCCTGGGGTGAGGATAAAAAAAAAAAGAAATACCTGCTGTCAGAGTGAGCTCCTGGGTAAAGGCTTCTTTTACAACTGCTCTTTTTTTACCAGCTTGCTTGGGGCTGTCAGTTGCATTTGGCTCTGTGACACGGAAAGGGGCGTTGTCAACGTGGCTGTCCCTTTGCTTCCCCAAGGAGCAATTCCTCTCTCACCCACAGTCCTGTTTGTTGCTAGGAACACTGTGTTTGTCGCACTCACTTTACAATGAAAACAAAGACAAATAAAAAATGGAACCACCATATGGTCTCGGCTGCCACCCAGAGTTAACCGCTGATGGGAAGACTTTGCCCTGTCCCTGTCGCTGCTACAGTTGCGTGGTCTGTGATAGGGGCCCTTCTCTTGCATTTTAAGATGTTGAAGTTGGTAGCAAGTTGACTCCAAACTTCTTCAACCAGACTGCGGTGGCGTAGCCAGAGTAGCTAACTTGCTGGCTGGTTATCTATGTTTGTGTTAGTATGAAGTGTCCCTTAGGACTTGAGGGCGTAACCTCATTAGAGACAAAGCTGTTTTCATAAGCAGAGGTGTCGGCACCAAATAAATGTGTATTTCTCGGCATGTTCCAGGATGTTTCACCCCTCTGCCCTTTCTCTTTTTCCACCTAGCTAACTCTTGGTGACCCTTTCAGTTACAGGTGTTATTTCTTCCAGGGACCTTCGTAGCCCTCCCAGCCTTGGCCAAGAGTCCCTCCCCTCTGGTTCTATACTGCCAGGTGCATGTCTTTTTGCAATTACCACAAGGTATTCAAATAATTCTTTCAATGTATTGACTGTGAGCTCCTTGATGGCAGGGACTCGTCCCATTTATTGAATACCCAGCTCCTAGCATACTGCTGGCAGATCGCAGGCCGTCAATAAAAGCAGACAAAATGAAATCAATCCTTCCGCTCTCCCGCTAGATCCTCCTCTCAGCACTAGAATGCCCACGGCAAGATCTTTGTAACTCTTCTCTGATGATGCTTATTCCCGGGTGATCTCGCGAGTTTCAGGGTTTAAAACCAGCGATTTTCAGCCTTTTTCTTAATCTCATGGCACACATAAACTAATTACTAAAATTCTGCAACACACCAAAAAATATATTATTTTTTTTTTGCCAATCTGACAAAAAAAAAAAAAAGGTATAATTTTGATTCATTCACACCAGATGGCTATTGTTGTGTTGGCTGTTGTCATTTTTTTATTTGACAATGTAAGGGAAAAGCGGTCAGTGCCCCTGATTAAATAGTCAGGTGTTGCATGTTTTAAAAATTCTTGTAGCACATTGGTTTAAACCCTTGGGTGGATGACCTCCAAGTGTGTACCTCTGTCATGGAACTTTCACTTGAATTCCTGACCCATATATTCAACTGCCTACTTAATATCTCCACTTAGATGCTCGATCGTATCTCACATTGAGCATGTCCAAAACGAAACTTCTGAGTTTCCCTCTCAAACTAACTATTCCAACAGCCTCTCCCATCTCACTAAAGGGTATCTTCATTGTTCCCGGTTACTCAGAACAAAACTCTGAGAGTCCTCTTTGAGTCTTCCCTTGCACACTTCATGTTTAATTTGACCTCAAGTCCTGTTAGCTCTACCTTCAAACTACATGCAAATGTGGGCATCTCTTACCTCTTCCACTGCGATCGTTCTCATTCAAGCCATCATTATCTCTTGACTGGATTGTTATTGCTCTGCTTGGTCTCTGTGCAAGACTGCAGTTGGACGGTCCTCGTAAAACAGACGTTGTATAATGTCCACCTCCTATGCTCAACCCGCCGGCACTCCCATCTCACACAGTCGAGGTGAAAGTCCTTCCAATGGCCTGTGAGCCCTGTACCCTCCCGCCAGCATCCCTGCTCCTCCCACCATTTCTTCCCTGAATTCCTCTCCTACTTCTCTCCCTCTCACCACGTCGCTCCAGCGTGCTGACCTCTGCGGGCGCCGGGCGCCATTCCAGCACAGAGTCTTCCCGCTTTGCTCTTCTCTCCGCCTGGAACGCTCTTTGGCAGATACCCTCGTGTCTCGTTCCCTGTCTCCTTCCCTCCTTGGCCCAAACATCGCTTTCTCAGTAAGGACTTAGCTGACGGCCATATTTCACATTTCAGTCCTCCCAATCCTGTTTCCTTGATTA